AGCTGACTTCATAGTTGCTCCATAGATGTAGTTATCCTCACCTTTCCGCATATAAACATCATCACGGCCTACCAACACTGCAAGTAATTTTGTCCATTGAGGTATGTGGTTGGTAACTGGGAGGATCGAAGCGTCTATATTTCTCCGTGTTACTCAAAAGGATATTTGAAGAATTTCTGCAATTTATTCCAAGACCAAGAGATTAGTTGACTGTTTGGCCATGATTGAACCAGACGCCCAAAGACCCATACAATCAGGATTATAATGAAACAATCAAACAGAGAAAAAGAGGGAAGAAGAAGAAACGAATATTTTTTATTTCAGTATCCCTAAAATAAAGCGGAGGCCGCATATAAATGTAGGGCAATCCTAGTAAACAGCATGCATCACAATATGATAGGGTTCAGTACATATACTAAAAGAACTGAGAAAACAGATAAAAATAAGAAGAATAAAAAAAAAATTAATAGCAATTACAAACTCAAACAGGAGGTTTAACAAGAATATTGCTCTTGCTCCGATATCATGTAGATGGAATCAATGAAGAAGATGACGAATAAATAATCTTTTTTGTTTCCAAATATAACATGCAGCCATAACTAAGTGGCATTGTGTATATACATGAAAGAAAAAGAATACAACAGAAATAAAAATAAATAAAAAGATAAAAGAAGAAAATGCAAATAATCGGAGAAGAGTTGCAATCAAGAACCAAAAGTAAAGGAAATCTAATATTTGCATTCGATTGATTTGGTGCAAGAAGCAGGCTGAGTAAGCGTTGGGACCAACACCATAATATTGGGCCAGCATCAACAGTAGGAATTCAAGATGAAGCTCAAGAAAGGTTAATATAAGCGAGCATGTTACTGTAAGCTATGAAAATTCAATTTCAAGCACACCCACAAACTATGAACCAAAACAAGCAAAAGGTTAACAGGTAGCTCTTTAACCTACTTCCGTGTATCCCAATGGAATAATTCAACTGAACCAGAAAGAGCTAAGCAAGGGATCGGAGAGGGTGAGTTGTTAAAACCATTGTAGCGAATCACAATTTCAAGACTCAAAATCACACACGTCATAAAAAATAAAGCAAACCTCAGTCAAAGCTTTAACAGCAATTCCCTGATCTCTCTGATAGCTGAACTTGCAGCATAAAGTATCATCTTTTTGACCTGCCAATGGACAAAATGCAAATAACTAACGAAGCATAAAAGTGACCATAAATTAATTAAATGCCAAAATAAGAACTAGTTGTGGATCAGATATTTTTCTTTAAATCTCTATTTCAACCTATATATAAAACCATTGTGATTCGCTATTTCTTTAAATCTCTATTTCAACCTATCTCTGATAGCTGAACTTGCAGCATAAAGTATCATCTTTTTGACCTGCCAATGGACAAAATGCAAATAACTAACGAAGCATAAAAGTGACCATAAATTAATTAAATGCCAAAATAAGAACTAGTTGTGGATCAGATATTTTTCTTTAAATCTCTATTTCAACCTATATATAAAACCATTGAATGATACATCCACTTCTTTCCACCATCTCATTTTTTCATCATGAACATATTTGGTTTCACGAAGAGCCATACTGACTCCTGACGAGGCAAATTAATATTATTCTAATCATTACATGAGGTGTAGAAACTTTAAGCCACAATGCATTATGACAGAGGCGTAAGCCTCTTTTACGAGAGGTATAAAACTTAAGGTTAAAAGAAGGGGCAAGTCTCAAGGCTAAAGGTTAGAGTCTTACCTTTAGGCGCCTCAAGGCAAAAGCCTCGAGAGCCTTTTAATACATTCTGTTAGCTATTCAAACCAAATATGGTGTCATTATTTCCTTCATCGTCATTTCATCCTCCAAACTGATCAAGGTGAATTATGCCATACTGACCTTAGTACAATTATGGATTGTGAAATTATAATAGGGTGCAATTTTGAAACAGAATTTCAGCCAAGGTTGGGGTAAAGGTGCGGGTACACTATCTCAACAATCCATTCCCTCAGAACACATTATCCATTCATGCATACCTTTTCAGAAAATCACAAAGTAGGAGGCACTGGCAACCAATCCTCATATGGCTCCTGTAATGTGATCTAATTGAAAATCGAGAGTCCAGACTCTAGACCATGTTTACAGCCTTGACTCATGGCGAACCACAATATATGGGTTAGTCATCACTCATTTGTCTCGCCTTTACCCTGGATTACCCTTCCAGTTTCTTCCGATCTTGACTTCTGATGGCTACTCAAGTTTTCTTGTGAACTTATAAATGATTATTGTGAGCTTTATTGGCAATGGATGTAATGGACATCAAAAGAACGGCGAAGAATGTTCAATCTGCAAGCAAAACACGACATTGGCACTGCCTCTAGCTGGTTACTTCCAACCCTTCCAACTCCAAGCATATTTAGGACAATCTCACCATGACTTCATCGAATGCCCATCCAAGTCCTGAGGTTTTATTTCTAGCGATAGTGAACCACCTAAGTAAGCAAATCTCCCCAATTCTTGACTTGAGGGGACACCAAAGGCCTCTGCACCTTTTACACCAATTCTTTTAGTTCAAACTGAAACCAAACAACTAGGAAATGGCTACCGTGAGTCAAAGATACCAAACAACTAAGACTGACTACGTATACCAAACAATTAGGAACATGAAGTAATTCTAGTTTATATCACAATAAAACTATCTCAAACAGAACTCAAGACCCTTGACTGATAAACAAAGAAGAATCTATTCAAGTGCAATCTCTTAAATTCTTAATTAGAATACACGTAAATAAAAACATTCCAAATGCAAAGCTCCTCTCAAATAAAGATACAACTAAATTATAAAAACCGGGAAATTAAGTAGTGGAAAATAAAGGTACCTCCAATTTGTCTTCCTTAGCTCTATGGTTTTTTGGGAGGAAACGGAACTCTTCAGTTAATCGAAAGCATTCTTCCACATTTTCCGGGGATACAAAGTCCATAGCCACTTTTATGCATGACTGAATTAGTTGAAAACATGTAGAATTAAATAAAACTTGAAAATATAATTAAAGGAAACCAAAATATGAGATTCATGGCAAATATAACTGGATATCCAAACGAATGACCGAAGTTCTAAAGTCATTTTTATAAAAGCTAAGACATATCCAGACAACTCCAATCTCCCTATTCATTCAAACTTTTGTGATTGCCTTGTTCACTCAGTTCAATCAACTATCAAGCAAAATTACACCACTACAAAATATTGGTTAGAATCTAAATAGATGGTAGCTTGTCAATACTTGTCTATTTCGCACTTGATGAGGGCATCCTGCCGGAATGAAAACTGCCTCACCAATGAACTGTTCAAATGTCCAGGGTTCAACACCTACATATAGGTCTAGAAATTAAAATAACTATAAGTATAGGCAAAGCAGTGGGATAAGGAAAGAACAGTTACCAAACTCCTCCTTCAGCTGCTTCTTGTGTTTTGCATTAAAGAAAACGGTCTGATCATGAATTGGATGAACAAGCTGTAGAAAGCACAGAATGGATGCAATCGATCACCTGAACAGAGCATTTTATGAAGCTAACACTAAGCAGAGCAAGTACTTACAGAATTTACAGGTTTACACTCCATATGACGAAATTCCTTCTGGTGCTTGTCCAAGTACTTGAGTAACTTGGGAACATCCTGCCTACGGAAAATGTCCCAAACAGCTCCACCCGTGGCAACCTCCATTTTTTCGTTCTTTTCTAAGTGACTATCTGCCCCATCCGTAATTGAATCTTTTGATGTTGGATCATTAACTTCATTGCGCCCTGAGGCTTTTTCTGAATCACATTTTTCATTAAAGATTTTACTTGTATCATTAGAAGATTGGCCACATTGCTGACTGGGTGTGCATGCAATAGCTACTTTATGAGCAGTCTTAGGTCCATTTGGACAAAAGATATTATCCAAAGCACCGGTACTGAACGTGTCTACAGATGAATTTCTGATAGTAACACCGGTTAATTTGGAAGAGTTATACTCATGTTCGTCAAATTGTTTTCTGCTCTGGGACTTTGATTCTCCTCTTGGTTTTTGAATCATTAATGGATCCTTATTGGCACATTTGACAGGTTTTGTAACTCCTTTTCTAATAGTTGCAAATAAACCCGCCATGCATGATTTCTGATCTGCAACCTTATTTTGTACACATTCAGAATCCCTTTTTGTATCATCAAATGTGCTTTTTATTCCACCATAGAGTTCAGAACGATCTTCAGCAGCAAAACGTTTTTGCCTCTTTTCAATGAAATCTCGTTGCCAACGCTTAATATTAACTTTATTTGTATGAGTCAGTACATTTACCTTTACCAAAGTTATTGTCACGATAAGCAATGCTGAGCAAAAAGATTAGATACAATAACAATCATTATCTGAGAATGATATGCTTGGAGATGCAGTATGATACTCTCTCGTGCAGGCAAAAAACATATAACTAGATTAAACGCTTCAATTTATAATCTGACTGGCAAGCTCATAAATAATAAGATGTTTGCTAAAGAACTCGTGTTCGTGCATTAATTAGTCAACAATCACTTAATTACATATCAGAAGTTTTTCAGATTACAGTATACTGTATAGGTAATCAAGAGTTCAGAGGAAGCACGGATTTAAAGGATTTCTCCTTTTTTCCGCGTACCTTGATAAACTAAAATTCTAGGTTTCTAGAACTCAGTAGATCGCCCATATACTTCATGTTTATTTTAACAAAATAAACTAATTTCAAGAAAGGGTACAAGATGAAATAAAACAACAAGAAGCTAAGGGCTGCCTAAATCCACCTGTACCACTGATTATGCACAAAATGAGTTTGTTCCTTTTTATTTTTATGTGTGCGCGGTTACGTGGCTTATCAACAAAATAGGCAGAAAAAATTTTCTATACGAAAGTGGAAAAACGATATGTGGAATGGAAGGACTAAAGAATTACCGCATCAGACATATCGCAGTGAAGCTTTGTTACAGAGTCGCCTCTGCTCAGCTCCTCCTGGAATCCATATGCAATATAAGTTTTGGGTCCCATATCAGGCTTCAGTGAGCCTTCAGGAAGTTTGGTAGCAAGATTCAGAAGACCATATTTTGGGTGGGTATATTCGCTGTAAGGAAGTGCTGCAATAAATTCGGCACAATGCCTAGGCAAACGCTCCTCAAATGAAGTTGATGAAGGCCAATCCTTCAGTTTCAACATTTCTGGCCATCCATTTCTGTGCATACGGCCTTCTAAGTAACCCACAAAAAACTGGTGGATATTTATCACTACCTACAGAAAATGACATGTCAATAACACATACTACAAGGACTTAGAAGGATATATTAAAATTATTCGGCGTTTCAAGTACCAATATAACTCCAATGCAATTAACTAACCTCACACCAATCAAAGCAATCAATGGCCTTCACACTGCATGTCTCCTCTTTGAACTTGGCATTTGCACCTGTTTGTCTAAAAGCTCTCCACATAACCATAGGCTCCCAACTAAGACCGGATGTCTTGTCAAGAACATTTCTGACAATAACAGGTTCACCCTTCATCCAGTGCCTTTGAAAATGGTTAACACCATCATCCATTACATCATCAGCATTTGGGGAGTATAAGAAGTTGTCGTGACTATTTTCCCTGAAAGCTGCTTGTCTGACTTCATTATTGTTAAAACAGCATGACGAACAGACTTCAGAAGAACAACTATCAGATACTTTGTAATCACTTGTAAACCCCTCTGCTCCTTCTATTAACTTTGCAGCCCAATCAGCTTTAAGGGAACGTCTCAACTCCAAATTTGCAATTCCACAACCCCCACGTTGTTTTGGAGGACACGGTATACTACCATCAGGATTAGGACTCCAAACCTGGAAACTTGACGACGTGCCACCTATAGAAGTCTTAGATGTGGATGTCAACTGACACTCTCTTCCTGCCAGCACATTGATGCACTCTTGAAGTTGTTGGCTAGACAATTTATTTCTAAATAGTTGGAAATAAATATTTATTTTGCTACCTTCAGAATGGAAACTTTCCCTCAGCTCCTTACAGCAGCTAAGACAGAGATCGTAAGAACAGTTTGGGTTGAAGCAGCTTCTATAAAAATTGAAGATCGAAGTGTTGCAACTGTCGCTGTCAAATAAAAACATGTTTTTCAGGGGGGAAGTGAGAGTATGCATTTTCTAGAATGTATGGATGCATTTTCAAAAATTGTATATTCTTAAGTTCGAGAAAATGAGAATATTTTGTTACATACAAATATGTGCATGTCTTCTTATATAGGAGACAGACTCGTTAAACCGTAAAGAAAAAGGATAAATGCAATAAAGACAAATGTTGACAACTAGTATATAAACAATATATAAACATTCGAAATTCCAACTTGTATCCACATACATTTATGTGTGTATGTGCTTGTTTGGGAGTTAAAAGTTAAAACTGGAACATCACCACTCATCCGTCAATTCAGTTGGACACTTGGAATATCACCCAACCCAACGAGGTTGACAATGGATTTTGATCCCATTACAACTAGGACAAATCCAAGGGGTCTTCGGGCTTCAAGTTCATAAGTAGAAATGTAATGAATAATATTAATTAATAGGTAATAGAACTTATGAATGATCGTGGTATTTAGATTCAAGTGATCGGTAATGTATAGCAAGTACTTACAGAATAATATTTAGACTCAAGTGATCGTGGTAATGTATAGCAAGTACTTACAGAATAATATTTAGATTCAAGTGATCGTGGTAATAAAGTAATAACAATAATAAGTTTGAAAATATACCAATACATGCGCTCTGTTTGATCCAGTTTTATTCTTTTTATATCCACTTCTTTCAATCGAGCACCTGAAACCCACAAAGAATTAGATTGCTCATTTAATAACAATATCTATAAGTGAAGTTTATTATCTCAAAACCAAATTGTTTAAAGCAATATACCCTTTATATTGCATTCAACCTCTAGTTCATAACTCTGTTCCCTTTGAATATGCCTGAGAATGGGCAGAACCTTATACAGCAGGAATTTTAATCGCTCTACTTTCACACTTGCATCCAATTCTTTAGGGGCAAACTGTCAATACAACATTATACATTAGCATAAAACAACCACAGAAATTGTGTAATTATACATCGACAACTGCCAAACTTCAAGTTACTGGAAAATGAGGGCACAAGTTGAGAGAAAGCTTTGCCTCAACAAACTCTCTTAAGCAAGCCTTGCAATTACAGTGACCACGGCAACAGGGACATGCATTCTCAACATCTTCCCTTGTTCTGTCAGGGTACCTGTTTCATTAAAAAATAAAAAACACCATTTTCAAGAGTTTTAACTTGACATCCTCATTATGACAACATCTAAAAATGGCTAAAAGCAAGCAAGCAAGCCTAAAATTATGTTTGAGCCATGCTAGCTGCAGAGGATACGAGCTAGAATTAATCGTTCTTCTTACCATCGTTCAATACACTGATAGCAAAACCTTTTTCTGTGGCAATTCGAACAAATGACAACCCCACTTTTATCGCTCTTCTGACACTGATGGCACATCAAACTCCCACCATTCTTTTTATTTGGCATATCCTGCACCTGAAAGTTTATTCATTCAAAACAAACCAGAAACAGGCTTTCACAACTTCGCGTATTTGAACTCTGATTGAAGTCCAAAAAATCATTCACCAATCACCATACTATGGAGCAGCATTTTTCATCACAAAACTGAATAGAACAACACTTTACATCCAACTTTGATACAAGGAGTAGAACATTCTTTAGAAACAAAACGAAAGGGTAAATTAATATAGAGCTTTGAATTTACCGTCTCGACCGATTTTCCATTCGCCACAACATGATTCCTCTTACGCTTCGTAGACGTGCCTTGTCTTTCCGCAGAATCGGCCCCATTCTTTCCGTGGCTCAATTTGGAAGCCGTGAATTGAGGTTTTCCAGAATCACTCGAGATTGTAACATCCTTAAAATGAATGTTAGACAGCTTCCTGTTCTTCTTCCTCACCAGACGTCCATTCCGCTCCAGCTCATCCTCAGTCTCTTTCCCTTGCGATCCAAATCTCACACCTCTCACCTCCTTCCTGTTCGCCGATACTCTACCATCGCCAGAACAGCAACCTCCGTCTCCAGAATTCCGCACTCTATTCAGACTTCGCTTCATGAGTTGGATCAAGTGCCTTTCACAATACGATTTCCCAGGCGAAGCCAACTCCTTGCACCGCCACCGAGCACCATCGTTACACTTGCAGCGGAGAGCGTCCGACGAGTCCATATCCATATCGGAAGGCACAACAAGGGTTCCAGCAAGACCATGAATCGAACCGCAATTCTGCTAAAAAAGAGTGGACAGAGAAGAGATTGTTATTCAATAGAGAAGATGAAGGGCGTATGCAGGTGGATGAAGGACTGCAATGGCACTAGTGAACGATGAATCATAGGAAAATTGGGAGGAAGAAGGAAGGTGTGAGCATAAACCATGATAATGGGAAAATCTAAAGAGCGGGAAGCGGATCAGCGGATCAGCGGATCTGGGTGCAATAAAGTGAGCGCGGAAACGAATTTAAATCGAATAAGTTACCAAGTTTATTCGTGGAGTTTATATCTCAAAATTTAAATCGAATCTCTCTCTTTAAATCTCAATTATATCTTTTAATTCTTTTTTCGTCATTATCTTCATTTTATTTTGAACAACCTCGAGGTGATTTGAATACGAATATTAACAACTTCAAGCTTCATTTTATTTAGATTGATACACATGAGCAGGCAAGCGTGGCCTAGCAATGGCCATTAAGGGATGAGCTTTGGGCATTGTCATCCCATACACCTCGTTGGTATCAATGTCTCGTGGGCTCATTCCTTCCGGTGGAGCCCAATCAAAAGAGTGAAATAACTGAGCCAAACCCATCAACACTAATGTCACTCCAAGCGGAGCGCCGGGACACTTTCGCTTGCCAGCACTAAATGGTAGGATCTTAAAATCAGCTCCATGGCTTATCTCCACTCTATTACTCATCATCCCATCGGTTGCCCAATGTCTCTCGGGTCTAAACTCGTCCACGTTATCCCAAATTTTCGTATTTCGACCCAATCCATGAGTGTTGATGAAGATTCGAGTCTTGGCAGGGATATCATATCCATGGATTTTGGTGTCACGTAGTGATTCGTGAGGAATTAAAAATGGACCGGCTGGATGCATGCGAAAAGTCTCTCGTACAACGCACCGTAGGTAATTGAGATGAACCAAATCTGATTCCAACACCAATCGATCAGGACCCACGACAGTATGAAGCTCTTCTTGGACCTTTGCAAGAACACGTGGATGTTTGATCACTTCTGCCATTGCCCATTCGTTAGTTACAGCTGATGTGTCAGTCGCTGCTGCAATCATATCCTGGATCATACAAATAACACATGAAAATTAAAACTTAAAAAACTTAAAATTTGGGGTTTCCATTTATAAAGAGCTTACTTGAATCAGGGCTTTGATTTCGGCGTCATCCATATGTTCCTTCCCGTCCTCGCCGGGCAATGACAGCAAAACATCGACAAAGTCCATATTTGCATCATCATCTTGTTCTCCATGAGCTTCCCTTCTCTTCCTCTCCATCCTATGTTCTTGGATGATCTTGGAGTGAAACTCATCCACTTGCTTCTCCACTTGCCTCATCTTGTCTTCGCACCCATGAGGATCCACCCACCTCCAAAATGGCAAATAATCTCCCAAATAGATCACACCCAACAGCCTAAACAACTCATGGGTTATGTGTATAAACTCCATAGCCTCACTTGGGCCTGCAGATCCTCCCCCGAAGTACTGCTTCCCGACCAACATCCTAGTCACATTGTTCATCGAAAACCCCCCTAAAACCTCCCTCAAGTTCACAGCCTTTCCACTCTGGGCTCGGGCCCAAACATCTCGGACCAAATGTTGGGCCTCCGAGGCCCGATGGGTCGAGAACGACTCGAGCCGCTTGCTGGTGAGAAGATGCTCCATACAAATCCTCCTCATCCGCTTCCAATTGGGCCCGAAAGGAGCCAACGCGACGTCATTGCAGCCGTAGGCGAGATGCACGGCGGCGAGAGTCCTCGGCCGGGAGGCGAAAACGTCGTCCTGTTGAAGGAGGATCTCGCGGATAGTGGTGGGGTCGTCAGTGGTGATGGCGTCGACGCTGCCGAGCTTCAGGTAGACGAGTGGGCCGTACTTTCGAGACAGCGCCGCCATGTCGCGGTGGGGAAGGTGGGTGAGGTGGAGGAGGTTGCCAACGATGGGCCAGCGAGGGGGGCCGGGAGGGAGATTTCTGGGGTTGGTGAATAATTTGAGGCACAGAGATCGTAGGAGGGCTGTAAAGAGAATGGCGAGAGCAAAAGCGATGAAATCCATGAGATGGGATTGGTGTGGTTTTGTGGGGGTGAGAGTGTAGTAGTGATTGTAAATTTAAATCATAGCGATTGGGTTAGCGGGAAAATTGTGGCATGTTCTTTGGATTTCTTCTTCATGTTCTTTGTTTTTGTATTTGGTGGTTTTGTGAGAGAGCAAAGATCGTGCTATGGAGCTGGTGAATTGGTTGGTGAGACATGAGGTTTGGGATGTGTTTACTCTTTAGTCCCTCATCTGTACAACAATTGACAATAACCTCTAATACTCCACAAGTGTGTTATTTGTCAATCTGTCCTCCATTCACTACATGAGTTAGTTTCAAATAGTTTGAAACGTTTAAAAATGGTGGTGAAAGAAGAATTACTGGAATTGGGTTTTTTTTTTTTTTTCTTTTTTTTCTTTTTTTTTTTTCTTTTTCAAAATATAAAAATAAAATAAAAGAACCAAAAGCAATTCACATGCATCACATCCCACCATTGTGACCACTACCTTTCATATTCCTTTTTCTAAATTATTCTCTTTTATTTCCTTCACTTTTCATCCTCATCTTTTGAACCCGACTGACCAAAATAAACACAACCCGACTCCGACTGACCAAAATAAACACAACCCGACTGACCAAAATAGAAATTAAACAACAATCCAAAATGGCAAACAGCTACTCATTCTGATACCGACAGTCTTTGATGGTGCACAAAGAGTAAGGAACAAAAGAATTTGGGGAGTTGACATTAAAAACAACGTACACAGTTCCGGAGATTCTTAATAACCCAAAACAACAACTCCCTAACTTACAGATTCATTCCGACACAAAATAGTTACCATAATAACAATGTGTACTATTAACACCACACATTCTGCTCTCCTACTTGGTTAATCATAAATAGTTATTTGCCTAAACAACAATACCTGCTGCTGTAATCAAAACTTCTGAACAACAACAAGCTTTTCACTTTCGCCTCTTCTCACTACCATACTCTAATCAATCTATATATGTATGCAACTATGTTACTCTACTTCTTCTGCTACTTACCCAACTGTTGATAGCGGAGGGTGTAACGGAGTCGAGTCCCGGGAAAATGCAGCTATCAACTGTTCCTTCGTCAACTGCTCCGATCCCGGAGACTTTATCACAAATGTGTGCACGACCGTATCATTTGCTTCACACAGTTTTGAATCAACAACGTTGATCTGAGCCTCTTTCATGGCCTTGATTACTCTTGATGCAGGATGTGACTCTAATGGGCAGCTAACCTTCACGATCACTTCGTCATGACCAGCTTCAATGTCGATATCGACATCAAGGAATTGGTCTTTCTTTTCAATTTCTGGGTTCACCTCCGACGGGGTTGCTTCACTTGAGGTGACCCCCGATTTCTCACGTTCAACTTCCATGGCCTTCACTTTTGTTTGAAGCTCGTTAATGTAAGCAATGGCATCTCCCAGCAATGAAGCTTTGTCCATTTTCGAGATATTGGGCACAACAGCTCGTAAAGCATAGAACCGTTGGTTCAACTTTTCACGGCGCTGCCTCTCTGCCTCAACGTGATTCAGTGGTTCCTCCCTGCCATTTGCAGGCTTTCTGCCTCGTTTGCGAGGTCGTCTTTCATCGGTGCCAGGCCCCTCTTCTTTGCATTGAGGCTCTACATCTGAATGCTCCGAATCCACACCTACACGGTTAATCACAGAAGGCCTCGATGTTGCTCCAGAAAAATCAATTTGCATTTGGGCCAGCTTTTGCGACTGATAGGGATTGAGACAATATTCATCTCTAACTCCATTGACTAGCTGCTCGTGATTATTATTTGCTGGTGGAGTTGGAGAGCCATAAACTTCTGTAGTGTTCCCTTGCTTGAGACCATGAACATGTGCCAAACTCGGACTGCGAAGGCCATTTCGGGGGCTTTGAAACTGAATTCTACCTCCATTGGCACATGCTTCCCATGACCTATCATCCATCTTCCTAATCGCCAGTTTCTCTCTGAAATGAGATCGACCCAGGTTCCCCGAGTTCAAAGTCTGCCCAAAAACCTTAGGATTCCCCCCTCCTCTTTCAGCAATTCCCAAACTCACAAATGGGGCGTTTTCATCTTTTCTTTCAGCCATCATGGACATTGTTGCCGACGACCTCACTCGGTCGAGGGAAGGTTGGGATGAAAACAATGATCTAACCAACTGCACCAACTCTAAGCTCTCACTCACAGATCTCACAGAACCCAATTCAACTACTCCGACATCGGTTGGCACCAGAACAACCGTCCGAATCCCGGCGGATTTTGCCAGATACGATCTCACACAATACTCCGATGGCGAATTGAGCACATCCAAAAGCCAGATATGTTTCCTGGACGCCAAACACTTCCCAGGGCCCCCCTCTCCACTAGGGAAGGAGAAATACATGGAAGCAAGAAAAAACATCTCAGTATCAGTGACTCTGTCCAATCCAAGGGCGTAATTGTCCTCATCAGAGCCTCCAAACAGCGTGTGAAGCTTCTGCAGTGCTGTTTTCTTCATCCTCTGTTGGCTCTCGTCTTCAAGCCGAAGACTAAGAATCTGTGTAGCTTCCGTTTCCTCTCCTTCCCTAGGATCTCTACACAATCCATCTCCCCATCCCAAAACCCAGTCCCCAGAATTTGAATGGGAAAGTTGCCAGAAAATTGCATAGTTCCAGCTAAAATTCGAAGCGTTGGGTCTCTCCACCAGATCCGACAGCTTGTTCTGCAAATTCGCCTCGTTCCTCACAGCCATAAACAGATTCTCATTCGAAACAGAGCAAGACATCAAGTAATTAAAAGCCCGAGTCCCCAAAACAGCAGCAACCACTGTCTTATCCTCATCCTTCCCACCAACACTCCGCAACCCATCTTCAATCTTCATCTCTAAACCCCCCCCCCCCCAGAGCCAAGATACAATCACACACACACACGCTTCAAAAATTACAAAACCCCAGATCAAATCTCAATCCAAAAACTCGAGAATTCCTCAAACCATTATAAAATAACCCCAACAAAATTAATCCTCTACCCACAACAGCATCAACAAAAACATTCCCTAGATCTCGCAAATCAGGAAAAATTAACAAAACCCCAGATACTAAAAAAAAGAAACCCAATACAAAAATCAATCACCCAAAAACCCAGGAAACAGGAAAGATAGAGATAAAGATAGAGAACCGACCGGTAGTGAGCATGCGAAATGTGCCGAAAAGAAGATGGTGAGATAAGGCAAGAGGGAAAGAAACTTGGAGGGCTATAAACATTCCCAGGAAAGCGACAGGCTGAATCGAGGAGAAAAGATTTATTTTCTTGGCAGCCTCAAGCAGTTATTTCACGCGACAAAATAAACGAACGAAAGAAAGAAAAGAAGAATAAAAAACCCTGTTTTTCTTTCTCTGTTTTCCAGAATGGCGAAGTGAAAGACTTGAAAATGGGAATCGAAAACGAGAAAGGCGAGGCAAATGGGAAATGGAAAATCGGAAAACCGTTTCTTTTTCTTTTTCTTTTCTTTTATCCCCCCCTGCGCTTCGGTGCCGCCCCTCATTGTGCACGAGAAATACCCTAAACCATGGTTAAGTAAAATGAAAATACGAGGAGTCAAATGTCAACCATGGTTAAAGGCGTATTGGATATATTTAGTTGCGAGTTTCAGAAGTAGTCGGCGATTATGTTGTGGCCGTTTGTTTCCACAGCGGCACCTGAGATTTCTATTCATCGCAGAGGAATTGATCAAATATAAATTTCAATTTTCTTTTCTTTTCCTTTCCTTTCCTAATAATAATTAATAAAATATTAAAAATGTTTATTTATTTATTTTTTTTATTTGGAACATAAAATCGTCTCGCAACGCGCAATTACTCGCAAACCATGCACAACATGTGACCTTTTCAACTTTTCTTTTTAACCCTACTTTCTTTCTATTTACTCTTTTGCCCCTACTGTCTCTTCAATTTTATTTTCAATGGTTTTCTGTATAAAAAAATAATCCTTAATTTAAAATATGATTTGATTAGTGGATTTAATAAAGAAACAAATGGGTTGAAAGTCCATTAAATATATGTTTTTTTAAGTTTTATAAACTATAATAAAAGGGACAACTTAACTATAGTTAGGTTTGAATAATCTGAAATTATGAAACCAATCCTAATATTTGATGTGTGGGCCCTATTTCTTCTTTATTATTCTCATGGACTAAATAATTATTTTATATATATAAATTTAATGGTTAGTTTTAAATACTTCTAGCTCAACCATTTTATATATATATATATCTTACATGAAAATAAATGCTTTAAATAGCAATTTTTTTATTATTAATTTTAAATATGATATTTTTTACCAGCTTTATATATTATATTAACAATACTTATAACTATTTAAATTCACTCCAATAATTTCATACACATATTCATTGAAAAATAACTATATTAATGAAACAATTTTTTTCTTCAAAAATTATTTAAAACACATTTGTTATAACTCTCAAAACTATGCGCTTCTTTTTTGTAGTCGTAAACCTACCATAAAATATAGATGGGACATAAATTTCAATTTATCAAACTAATTAAATCAATTTAGATTAAGGTCGAGAGTAACGTCAGAATAATTTGAAAAGAAAAAAAATAAAGCCTAATTCACTTTTATTAAAAAAAAATGTGCTTGGAAACTTAAACACGACTCTTATTATAAAATGTAAATGAGATGCTTTCTTTTAAAAAAAAAAAAAACAAAAACAAAAAGTGAATTAAATAGTTTCTAAATCTCTAATTTATAATTAATTTGAAATCTTGATTGACGAATTTGGACCCAACATGAATACGAGAGGCAGGAAGATATGAGACAAAGAACATATAATAAAATAATAAATAAAGTTAAACTATAAATTGTAAATTTAGCTCTTAATTTTTTTTTTTTTTTTTTTAACATTCATAGATCTACCAAATAATAAAAATTGGAAAAAAAAAAAAAAGAATCTTATTAAATTCAAATTTGTATTTAGTGTATTAATTTTTTAATTCCAATTTATTAGATATCTATTTACCCAAAATTGAAAAAAAGTTTAAGGACCTGAAATTGTTATTTAAGATTTTTTTTTTTATTATTTAGAAAAAAACATAAAGTGGGATTAGGCAAAAGCAAATAGGATTAAGGTTTGAAAAACCGGACAGCGACATATTGAAAGTGAAAAAAACAAGGGGAAAAAAAAAAAAAAAAAAA